CACAGCCAGTTTGCAGCATCGGATAACGCCTCAGTCCTGTAGGAAACTCCCCAGCTTGTCCCCTCTCCCCCCCAGGCCATACAGCGACCTCCGCCACTGCCTGGAGACCTTCGCAGAAAAACAGAATTACGGTTACCCCAACAGCATTGCCGAGGAGTGCATCGTCCAGAGCCACCACATTTACTTCCTGAACTGCACCCAGGAGCACCCTGTCTTCCTCGACCCACCCGAGGACGTGCTGCTGGTCCTCATTGTCACCCCCATCTGCCTCATCCCTTTCCTCGTCACCCTGGTGGTGTGGAGGAGCAAGGATGGCAAGATGCAGTCCTGAGCGCAGCAGAGCTCCGGGGGTGCCAGAGGCATCGCCAATGTGTTAGAGAACCAGACCTGGCTCGAACCTCTGACCTGACCTGACCTTGCCCCACGGGAGCCAGCCCCGGGCCTTCGCCTGCTGGCTGAGCCCCAGCGCTGGAGAGGCTGGGAGGCCCGAGTGCTCCACCCCTACCTCTGCAGCACTCGCTTCCGGCTGGGACTGGAACCACTGCTCCGCTCCCGCCGCTTCCAACCTGGCCACAAGCAGGAGCCGGCAGAGGCCCCATCGCGCAGGCCCTACTGCCAGGCCCAACAGTTCGGAGACGCTTGGAGAACCAGCCCGGAGCGGCCCCCTCCGAGCCCCTGGAGCATCCTCCATCTCTGGCTGAACGCCCAGGGTTTGTACCACGCTGTGCCCGCTCAAATGAGGTTACAGCGCTGGGCTTCCAATCCCAGGCCTCTAGACCACGCCGGCAGGAGGAGAGAGCCCCGTGGGCAATTCTGCTCTGGATCTCACCCCTACGTAACCCCCTGCCAGGGTCCCACTCGCAGCTCACCGCAGCTTAACAAGTGCAAACCCCCTCCAGGAAACGGGCTCTGCTGAGTCCCGGCAGTCCCAGCGCCATGGAGAGTTCGCCCTCCTGTGTCGGTCCCTGATCTGCACTGAGCAGCGGGCGGGGGAAGCCCAGGGGGACTGACTTACAGAGCAGCTCCAGTTCCATGCGGAGAGGGGTCACGTCCTCCAGAGAAACCCCCTCCCCTCACATGGTTGCTTTGCCTTCTAGGCCCCACCAGCAAGCAGAGGTTGCTGTGCCAGGGCTGGCGTCATGGGTGCATGAAGGAGGCCCCTCGCCTTGCATTGCTGAGAAAGCCTTGTGTTTCGGGACAGGACGTCGTGCCAGGGCAGCGGGTTTCCCCTGCCCTGTTTATGGGGCTCTGAGGCCTGGGGCAGGCTCCCTCGCCATGTGACACCAGAGGCTGCGTGCCTCTTTTACTGTCTTTTTCTGATCCCCTTTGCAAACAGGCTCCCTGGTTAACCAGCTGGAGATTAAAGACCTTCCCTTCCCGAGCCCCGGTGCTTCCTTTCGCCGTTCGGTTTCTTGCCTTGGCTGCTGCAGACACGTGGGAGTTAGAGACAAACCCCAGTCCTTCCCCCCCTGCCAGCTGGGCAGTGCCCCCCTTGGTGCCCGGGGCTACAGTCCCACCAGGAGTTGGCTGGAACTGGATTCTGTCTCCCCTTCAATTTGTGGCACTGAGCAGGGACTCGGGGCCGGTCATAGGCTCCTCCGGGGCCAGCTGGTGGCTTACAGGCCTCTTGGCCCATGGCACGTTGCTGGGTGACATGTGGGCCCCGCGATTCCCTCTCTTGGATAATGACACTGAGTCCAGCGACCTGCCCCGCGAGCTGCCAATGACCTCGTCGTGCAGGGGCTCCCTGATTGCCTTGGCCTGGGTCCCTCAAACAAAGCAGCACCGGGGAAATGCTAGGGGAGCTGGCTCCCCTCCCATCAGGGCTGGAGCCAGGCAGACTCCGGGGTCAGGGTGGGGCCAGGTTCCCTTGGAGCAGTGCAGAAAGCAGGGCTGGGAGAGAATTGGTGCCGGCTGCGGCCTGCGCAGGTTACTTGTGGGCAGGTCTGTGTTTGTGCAGGACTTGGTCACGCCTGCGTCTGGGCACATCTCGTTTGCTAAGACAGGAGAGAGAGAGAGAGAGAGTGTGTGTGTGTATGTGTGTGTGTGCGCGCGCGTGCACCCAGCCTGTCGGGTAGCTGCACTGTACCTGGCTCTCCAGTCTGGGGAGCCGTGGCCGGTAGCCCAGACCGGACCTCTTCTCTCTTGCCAGCCCTGCTGCTCTCCCTGGCCGGCCTATGCCCTGAAAATGCTGCTGGTTTAAATGTCAATGCCTCCTCCATGCTGAGCATGGGACGTGTGGCTTAGCGGGCCCCTCCTGTCCGCCTGGGCTGCTGCCAGTCTGGGTGGCACCCGGAGCCAAGGGGGAGGGGAGCCCCTCCGCAGCAGCATTGCTCTCAGATCCAGACCGAGAGTCAGTCCCATTCCGGCGCGCAGCCTGGCCCCAGTTTGCCACAGGCCCTCAAACGTGTGGGTGGTGGCTCCAGGCAGGAGCGTCACAGAGCCTGGGAAGCACCCACGGGGGTCCTGCCCCAGCTGGGCCGCTTATCTGCCTGCATCCACCCGGTGAGGTGGGGTGCACCCACAGTCAGCTCCCCCCGGGTTGGACCCCACGTCGCTCCCTTTGTGGGGCCAGGCGGTAGCTCGTTCTTGCTGGGGTTGGTGTGTAGGATGGGCTGTGACTCCCTGACTTTGTTCCCTAATGCTCCCAGCCTCACCAGGCTCCCAGTACTCTCCCCTAGTGTCTGGGCTTGGGCAACCCTTGACCAGGAGTCGCTCCCGAGGGCTCTGGGTGGGCACCAGGCCTCCCTCCTGCCCAGCAAGGCAGCAGCACGTGTGCAGGAGGGAGATGAGCCTGCCTCTGCAGTTCCCTTTCCTGCCCAGACAGTCAGCGAACAAAGCCCCCAGGCCCTCTCCGCTGGCTCCTTCCTTCCTCCTCTCGCCCACCGGCCGCTCCTCGCAGTGAACAGAAGTGCTCTGGGATGCGACACTGGGGTCTGGCCAGGTCTCTGCAGCTCCCAGGAACACCCTGCGCTGTGTCCCTCTGGGAGAGCCTCTGCTTAGCGGACAGCAGGGGCCCAACATGGCCTCAGAATGAGCCCTCGGGCAGACGAGGGGGGAAGGACCCAGTGAGCATTTCCAGAGGGCCCTCAACAGCTCTGCCGCCCAGCAGTCAGGGCACAGTCTGCCACAGGGGATGGAGGCTCTCCAGGCTGGGCCCAGCCTGTGTCACCCATGTCCCACTCTGTTCTGATCTGAGAGCAGGGCTCCCTGCTGGCACCTGGCTCCTCCCAGAGCCCCGGGCCAAGGTGATGAGGGGAGTAAATGCTGCTGCTGTCAACCCTTGTGCATGAAGCTCGCTCTGGGATGTGCAGGCCTGCAGTGACGGCAGCGTGCAGGGGCCCAGACAGGGCAGAACGGGCCAGGTATTGGCTGCTCTGCCCTCCTCATCGGGCACATGGACTGCCCCACCCAGAAGGAGCCCGGGCTCCGAGCACTGCCCGCATGGCCACTGCACTGAGGACGGGGACAGGCTCCAGCTCCCAGACAGCTGCAGCCTGGATGGAACATTTGGAGAGTCACCGTTCGCCTCGCTGCAGTGCCCCAGCCCAGCCGCGGCCCTCAGACAGTGCCATGCAGGGTCAGTCACCTCATCCCCCACCCCGTCTGCCAATGCGCCATGCTCCGGCTGGGAAGGCAAGGCTGCCCCTAGTGACCAGTACACCCCAGTGCTACGGGGGAGAGCAGCTCCCTGGATTCCTGCCCCTGCTATACTCCCCACCCCAGGGGTGATCTGGAGGCCTGGTGGGGGCAGGAAGAGAGCCAGGGACAGCGAGGCACAGGAGGCTGTGGGGAAGAAGCAGGGTGACTCTGCAGCCACCCAGGGGAATCCTAGGTCTGCGCAGCAGCCTTTGGGGCACTCGGTCAGGGATGAGGCCACGCTGGGATGGTGCAGAGAGCGTGGGGACTTGCCCCATTCCAAGCACCTGGAGGGGCCATCCCTCCCAATGCCAGTCGCTGAGAGCAGCGGGTGCCCCTCCCGCAGAGCACCAGGGGACTCTGTGAGAGGGAATGAAGCAGCCGTGGCTTCACGAGAAGAAGGCTGGGAAGGAACAGCGAACAGGCAAGGGGCTCAAGGGCACCTGGATGGGTGTGGGCAGAACTGGCGGGATCAGTTTGAAAAGTGCCCACCCGTGACCCTGCCATTCCTCCTCCCCACGATGGCAGCAGTCCCGTCACATGGGATAGGGCAGTTCAGAGAGACAGTAAACACCCAATAGAGACCGGTCTGCCAGGAATGGGATTGCTGTGCAGCTGGGCACATAGGCCCCAGCCCTGCCCCTGCAGACAGGCCTCTGGGATGGGGCTGGGAGCTGCTGCAGCTGCATTTCCAACCTGGCCAGGACGAGAGAAAAAACTGATGAGAAACCCTCTTCCCAGGATATTCACACGCTGGTTTCTAACCCCAAGATACTCGTCGGTTCATTGATCTGCCAGGCCAAGGCCCACGTGCCGGGATCCAGCTGCCTCTCCCAAGCTATGAGACTGATGCTTGGCACAGTCACCCCACATGCACACAGCTAGGGCCCCTCTCCTTGCCTGCAGCTCTGGAGTCCCCTGGCTGCTCTGAAGCCAGAGGCACATGTCCAAGTGCCTCCCAAGGCCGAGCCGCTTTATGGCCTTTCCAGGGCAGCTTTAGGAGCGGATCTTAATGCTCTGCACAAACATTCGTGTATCCTCACACTGCCCCCGAGCAGTCAGTCCCGTCCACGCTGTGCCGCCGGGGAAACTGAGGCAGCGAGAGGCACTGGGACGTGCCCAAGATCACAGAGCATGGCAGAGACCCCTGACGTCCTGGCTACCAGGCTGGGGCGTTCACCACAACTCAATATAGCTTTGTACTGACCGTCCCACCCACCTCCTGCCGCCATAGCTCACGCTCCCCGCGGCCTCCCCAGGCGGACGGGGCGGAACAGACCCTGCCCGGAACCTTCCTTCCAGGCTGAGAGCGGGACGGAAACCGATGAAGCGGACCGGAAGTCAGTGCAGAGGACCGGAAGTCGGTGAGGCGGCGGTTCCGGGTTCGCTGGGTGGCGGAGATGAGCTTTGAGTGGCCCTGGCAGTACCGCTTCCCCCCGTTTTTCACGTGAGTCCCCGGACCGGCCGCCGGACCGGGCCCGCCGAGCCCCCTCGGAACCGCCCCCCCCCCCCTCGGAACCGCCCCCGCCCCCACCGCCCCCCCGGAACCGCCCCTGCCCTACAGGAGCCCCCTGCCCCCTCGAAACCGCCCCCGCCCCGACGGGGTCTCCCTGAATCTCCCCTGCCAGCCCCGCTCCGGGCAGCCCCCCCCGCCGCGCCCCCTTCCTCCTGTCACCCCAAGGCCCCCCGTGCCGGGGCCCCGCGCTCTGCCTCCGGCACCGAGGCCCTTCGCGCCCCTCTGGCGTCTACATGGACCCGGGGCCGAACTTACATTTTGGTGCCCAGGGGCTCTCCGGCCTCCCGTCCCCCCAACCCCTTCCCCTCCCTCCTGCACTGTGCCCCTGTCACTCCTACCCCTGCACCCCTCTCCTGAGCCCCTAACCCTGCATTCCCCTCCTGCATCCCCTGGGGAAACTGACCCACCTGGCACTGCTGCTCCTCTGCCCCGGGCACCCCCTGGGCTGCATACGGAGAGGGCAGGAGAGCAGCAGCTGCTGATGTCTCAGCACAGCCCAGGTGGGTAAGTGACCTGAATGCAGGAAGCCCTGGTGTTGTGTGTGTTGTGGGGAGTGTGTGACAGTGTGTATTGTGTTGAGGGGAATGTGTGTGTGCCTGAGTATATGATTGCGCTGAAAGCACTCAGGCTCAGGAGGGAGGGATAGCTCAGTGGTTTGAGCATTGGCCTGCTAAACCCAGGGTTGTGAGTTCAATCCTTGAGGGACTCGATGACCTTTCAGGGTCCCTTCCAGTTCTAGGATATATATCTCTATAAATTATTATAATTATTATTATTATTAAGGCTTGTGTTCAGACACAAGCAGCCTCAGGACCCATATAGGCAGCAGCATACACAGATTCTCCCTGTCCTGTCACTCCAGATCAGTGGCAATCAGGTGCATGGGTGAGGGGAACACCCTGACATCAGCACACCCCCTAGCAGACAGGACACTGCTCCCAGTCTGGAGTGGCCAGGGGTGGCTCTGGGGAGGAAGTGGGGGACAGGAACAGCAGCGGCTGCATACGTGGAGGGGGGGGAACCCCTGCTCCAGAGGAGTCACCTGGCTTGGACGGCTGGTTGTCCGGTTGTCCAACTGCCCCCTGCAGCTCCAGTGTCTCCCCCCTGCCCTGTCCTGCCCCCTCTCCAGCGCAGCTGCCTGCCTGCCTGCCACCTTTGTCAGCCCAGCTGGCCCTCAGCAGGTCAGGTGGAATCCAAACCCTGCGCATGGTGCCCTCTTTGGTGTCCCGTCCTGGTATTCCACCCAGGTGGCATCTGGAGTGGGGGCAGGTGTCAGGAGCACTGCTGGAGGTTTGCCTCGGGATTCATCTGTTGATGTAGCCGCTGTTTGCTGAAGCTTCAGGTTCCACTGACATTATGGTGAGGTTTGCCTGGAGGAGTGGCTTGTCTGACTGCGTTTGTCACCCCCTTAAACCTCTTTAAGCCCAGATCCTGCTGTGCCTGGAACCAGATGTTGATCAAAAGCACCTCTGTGTTTGTTTCTAGATTGCAGCCCAATGTGGACACCCGGCAGAAGCAGATGACAGCCTGGTGCTCCTTGGTGCTGTCGTACTGTCGCCTCAACAAGCAGTACACGATGACGGTCATGGAGGCCCAAGAAAGCCCACTGTTCAACAACAAGAAGCTACAGCGTATCCTTCACTCCCATGCTGTTTCGTTGCCCAGGTTGCTGTGGTGGCTTTAATCCAAACTAGGGCTGTCAATTAATCGCAGTTAACTCACGCGATTCACTCAAAAAAAATTAATTGCGATTAAAAAAATTAATTGGGATTAATCGCATTTTTAATCACACTGTTAAACAATAGAATACCAATTGAAATTTATTAAATATTTTGGATGTTTTTCTACATATTCATATATATTGTATTCTGTGTTGTAATTGAAATCCAAGTGTATATAATTTTTTATTACAAATATGTGCACTGTAAAAATGATAAACAGAAGAAATAGTATTTTTTCAATTCACCTCATACACGTTCTGTAGTGCAATCTCTTTATTGTGAAAGTGAAACTTACAAATGTAGATTTTTTTTTTTTTGGTTACATAACTGCACTCAAAACCAAAGCAATGTAAAACTATAGAGCCTACAAGTCCACTCAGTCCTACTTCTTGTTCAGCCAATCGCTAAGACAAACAAGTCTGTTTACATTTGCAGGAGATAATGCTGCCCTCTTCTTATTTACAATGTCATCTGAAAGTGAGAACAGTCATTTGCATGGCACTTTTGTAGCCGGCATTGCAAGGTATTTACGTGCCAGATATGCTAAACATTCGTATGCCCCTTCATGCGTCAGCCACCATTCCAGAGGACATGCTTCCATGCTAATGATGCTCATTTAAAAAAAATAATGCATTAATTAAATTTGTGATTGAACTACTTTGGGAGAATTATATGTCCCCTGCTCTGTTTTGCACGCATTCTGCATATATTTCATGTTATAGCAGTCTCGGATGATGACCCAGCACATGTTGTTCATTTTAAGAACACTGTCACTGCAGATTTCACAAAACACAAAGAAGGTACCGATGTGAGATTTCTAAAGATAGCTACAGCACTCGACCCGAGGTTTAAGATCTGAAGTGCCATCCAAAATCTGAGAGGGACGAGATGTGGAGAATGCTTTCAGAAGTTTTAAAAGAGCAACACTCTGATGTGGAAACTACAGAACCTGAACCACCAAAAAAGAAAATGAGCCTTCTGCTGGTGGCATCTGACTCAGATAATGAAAATGAACATGCGTCAGTCCACACTGCTTTGGAGTCTTATCGAGCAGAACCTGTCATCAGCATGGATGCATGACCCCTGGAATGGTGGTTGAAGCATGAAGGGACATATGAATCTTTAGTGCGTCTGGCACATAAATATTTTGCAACGCCGGCTACAACAGTGCCACAAGAATGCCTGTTCTCACTTTCAGGTGACATTGTAAACAAGAAATGGGCAGCATTATCTCCTGCAAATGTAAACAAAGTTGTTTAAGCGATTGGCTGAACAAGAAGTAGGACTGAGTGGACTTGCAGGCTCTAAAATTTTACACTGTTTTATTTTTGAATGCAGTTTTTTTGTACATAATTCTACATTTGTAAGTCCAACTTTCATGATAAAGAGATTGCACTACAGTACTTGTATTAGGTGAATTGAAAAATACTATTTCTTTTGGTTTTTTACAGTGCAAATACTTTGTAATCAAAATAAAATAGACTAAAGTGAGCACTGTACACTTTGTATTCTGTTGTAATTGAAATCAATGTATTTGAAAATGTAGAAAACATCCAAAATATTTAAATAAATGGCATTCTATTACTGTTTAACAATGCGATTAATCACAATTTTTTTAATCACGTGATTAATCACAATTAATTTTTTTTAATCACTTGACAGCCCTAATCCAAAGCAATAATTTGAGGTGGATTTTACTGTCTCTGTAAAGCAATCGGTAACCACTGGAGGGAATCCTGGAGAACCGTTTGGGTTGGGACCAGGGTGTGCTGAGTGGCACAGTTCCCTACAGTAGTAGATGGCTGTTGTGTCCAGGACTCCATGAATACAGCGCAGGGACTCTCAGTTACTTCTGGCAGTTACAGAGCAGAACTGTTTGCAAGATACACATTCTTCCAGGTCAACAGCTCTGCTCCTTGGCCCCAGACCAGCAGGCTCATTCCTGCAGTGTTAGGCAGTAAATAACATTGTATCATCAGGGGCAGAGAGTTCTGCGTTGTAATCCTCCTTTGAGGAGTCGTGTCTCTGTGCTGCTGTCTGCATGGACATTAAACTTCATAAGGACTCCATGTAAAAAGAGGGATTTTTCTAAGTGTCATTGGCCAAAATTCCCCCTTCCAGGGCCAGCTTTAGGGAAAATGGCACCCTGGGTGGACTTGAATTTTGGAGTCCCTGGCGCCCATGGGCGCCCCCCCCCCATTGCTCCGGCCCCCATGGGTGCCCCATCACTCCTGGGCTCTCACCTCCGGGCCCCGTAGCCTCTCCCCAGTGCTTAATTTGTTTTGAAAGAGGTAAGCGCTAGCTGAGTGGCCAGAGAGCAGCAGCTGCTGGCTGGGTGCCCAGCTCTGAAGGCAACGCCACTGTCAGCAGTAAGGCAGAAGTAAGGGTGACATGGTGTATGGTGTGTTGCCACCCTTACTTCTGCACTGCTGCTGTGGCCCATGGCGCCTAGCACTCAGCCTGTGGCTCAAGGTGGGCTTTGCGCTATCACATAGGGGCTGCATCTTGCTGGAGCCCACAGCCATCCTGCAGCCTTCTGGCCACTCCTGGCTCACCAACAGATTTTGGTGGGAGGGGCAACTTTAACCGTGATTCCAGGGCCTACTTAGGCACCTTAAAACTCTAGGGTTTTTTCCCCCCAGATAATAACAGTGCTTCTGTCAGCTAATTTCGATCTAATTCCTATATAAAGAAAGAAAAAAAATATACAAACACCAATTAAAGCCATATTTTAAGTTTAGAACAATCAGGAGATAATACAGCAAGATATTCCCAATCCCTAACCTAGAGGTATCAGTTCTGGAGCTTCAGATATCAGAAACACAAGTTTGATACTTTGTACACTATCTTTAGTAGAGAGAAATAAAAAATACATAAAATCTGCCATTAATTTGCTTACTTTCTCTAACAGACAAACTCTGTGTTACTGCCATTATCTACTCTGTTTCAGTCAATTGTTTTTCACTCCACTAAAAACATATTTACTTAATTTTAACAAACGTGATTGCGGATTTTTTTTCTATTTTATTAAGAACGGGAATTTATTTTTCTAATTATTTTGACATTTATATTTACCGATCACAGTCACGTATGTGACTTACTAACATTTGACTCCATCATGACTATTAGTATCAGACTTGGAACCACATTTATTTTCGTACAAATTTTAAGTTATTTTACAGATATAACTAAAAGTACAATTTGAAAATAAGCAACTTTCATCTGCCCAGTGTCTGAAGTTATGTGTTTAGCTAATTGTTTTTAAACTGGCACTGCTACGGTGAGTAAAAGCAAAATTTACATTCTAGAAGGATACTGTTATTTGATTGTAGCACTGTAAATAATGAATGACAAAGCACAATATGCTAATAAAAGAAATAATAATTACTCCAGCCAGGACAGGTTAGGCCTTTTAGAACTCGCTACTCAAAGAATTAAATTTAAGCATAAGAAAAAGAAAATTATGAAATGCACAGACCAGTCAAAAAACTAAAATAACAGCACAGTAATCTTTAACGAACTTTGAAAGAATAAAATGACAGAGAATATATGTGCATTGTGCATTTTGACGGGAAGTACCAAGAAGTAACAACAATAATAATAGAAGTGTGTGTGTGTGTGTGTGTGTCAGTGTGCTGTCTCTTTAAGCAGAGCACTCACCAACCTGAACGCTTGTTCAGACAGCAGCAGCCACTCCTGACCCAGAGGCAGCAGCACAGACAGGGTTCCCTTGTCCCCCCTCCCCAGCTCACTGGAGACCGGGTACATGGGCGGGGAGACACCCCGACATCAGTGCTCTATGCAGCAGACAGGAGGCAGGCTCTTGATTCCGAGCAGCTTGGCCAGAGACGGCTACAAGGGGGGCGGGGGGGCAGGAGCAGCAGAGTCTGCAGATGGCAATGGAGCAGGAAAGGGGAGGAGGGGCTCCCCTGTTCCAGAGCAGTTACTTGGCTGGTCCAGCTGCCCCCCTGCAGCCCGGGTTGTCAGTCCGCCCTCTCTAGATGCTGCCGCTCACCTGCCTGGCTGCCTCCATAAACCCAGCTGGCTCTCAGCAGGTCAGGTGAGAGATACCACGCAATGCACCTCTGTGCTGTGCAGGGTGCCCCGCTGAGCACGGCGCCCTGGGTGATGTCCTCCTTTGCCCACCCCTAAGGCTGGCCCTGCCCCCTTCCCCCACTTTCATCCAGCCTGTTCTGTATTTGTCATGTGCTGCCATCCACCCCAGAGGTGGCTGCATTTTGATGGGAATGTGGTTTTTGGCTTGTATGCGGTTTGTGTGGCGCGATGGAATCCTCAGTGATGAAAGGTGCCTGGAAATGTTACATGGATTTATTATTTTAGAGCTTTGCTTATTTCCGTTATTTAGGACTGTGTCAGGGCATGCCTTGCGTTCGGTTCCTTCCCCCAGCCAGTTTCTGCTGTGAGCAGTGTTAGAGATGGTCACACATCTAACATCATCCTCTGAGCTTTGCCTGTGCTGCTAAATCGCACTGAATGTTTCCTTAACCCAGAACCAGGGAAACTCCCCATGGAATCCATACAAGTTGTGTTAGAAGAACTCAGGAAAAAAGGTGGGTGAAAATCTCTGCCGAATTGTCTGTGACTGTTCATGTTGCCTGTGCTGGGTGTGTCAGCAAGACCTGTGTCTAATTTCCCTCCTAGTGCTGTGAGTCGGCCTGTGCGACTGTCCCAAAACAGTCTGGGCACGGATGTACCACTCCTATTGGACTCTCCCTGAGTTCCGGTTGTTTTTCAGTGTTGTCTCTGTTTTCAGAGTTCCTTGTCCCTTTCCTTATGCAGCATCGCAATCCGCTGCACTGGGAGAGGGAGAGTTGGGCCCAGAGGCAGGAGAGATTTTTGATTTGAATGTGGGGGTGGGTAGGAAGCAGGTGTGAGTGACAGGATGAGGTAGAGATGGAGCTACATACAGACATAGCGTCCACCTGTAATGAGGTGTCATTCTTGATTTGGGGCCCTGTGATAAATACACCCTTTCCATTGCGTTTCAGGGAACCTAGAATGGTTAGACAAGAACAAATCCAGTTTCCTGATCATGTGGCGGAGACCAGAAGAATGGGGAAAGCTCATCTATCAGTGGGTGAGGCCACAGAAGCTTTGATACTGTACAGCCCATGGTCCATTTCTGTGTATTGGGGGGGGCAGCTCTCATTTCAGACTCGCTGCAAAAGGGCCTGAACCAAATTGCTGATTTGACATCTCACCCGCAACCAGCCCTTTCTAACCGCCAGTCCCACAGGCGGATGGACGCTGACAAATGGTCTGGCTTGTGATTTGTGAAAAATGCAACTGCCAAATGTTGGTGCCCTGATTCCCCACTGCCTTTACCTTTTTGGGTCCCATTTCCCTCTGCTGCAGGGAGGTGTAGGGCTCTCGCAGTGGTGCACACCTTACATTGTGTAAAAAGCTGTGATAGGCAAGTGAATACACTGTTCACACCCATCTCCCCATGAGTGTGGTTGAGAGTTCAGTAGTGAGCACAAAGCTGCTGTTGCACTCCCCTCCATGACACGAGTTCTCGTTGTAAAAGTCGTTGTCAGAGTTGGAGAGAAGGAATAAAGGATGGCGGGACAGCGACAGGGGTTGGACTGCTTTCTCCACAGTCAAATCTCCTTGTCTGAGGAGTTAGTTTGTTTGCCAGGAAATACTGACTGGGTTCCACTCCATTGAAATGAAGATCCAGCAGAGATCAGTGCTGGGAATCTTAATTGTTTGTAAGACACAAAAGTGAAATTCTCTACATTGCTCTTGTTTTTCCAGGTGTCTAAGAACGGCCTGACCAACTCTGTATTCACACTCTATGAGCTGTCCAATGGAGATGACACAGAGAATGAAGGTAACATCACTTCTTGTGTGTTCTGGGGCTGCTTTCCAGAGCACAACAGTACTGTAAGAACGAATAATTTGTATGGCCAGGTGACAATTTTAATGGTGAAATTCTTTACAGTTGCTTGTAGTTGCTGTATGCGCTCTCTGTATTTTGGGGCTCACATTGATCACCACTGAGAAGCGGGGCTGTAAGCTTTATTCGCTACCCACCCTGAGATCTCCGTATCATTAGCGTGTTTTCCCTGCCTGTCACCGAGCCTCTCTCCCTTCACCATACCAAAGCTCTGTCCTCTTGTTCCTCTGGCTCCAGGGGGGTTGAGTTTTCTTCCTTGTGAGATCTGCCTGGCTCCCTTGCAGCTTTCAGGTCTGTGCTGAAAGCTGCATTATCTGTTCCTTCTCTGTTTAACAGCACCCAGCTTATCTCTTTCTGACGTGGTGGCAGCGGTGGCTTGGATTAATTGTTACGCTCTTGGGGTCTGTGAAAGGTGCTCTGTAAGGCACCTCCTAGTTTGCCATCATTAGTCGCAGACTGCTGTGCGTTGTGTTGGTTTTGAGGTGTGATTCTTATGGTTTCTCTTGACTGAGGGTGTTTCATCCTTCCCTAGAGTTCCATGGCTTGGAAGAATCCATGTTGCTTCGTGCCCTGCAAGCCTTACAACAAGAGCACAGGGCTGAAATTATCACACTCGACGACGGCCGAGGCGTCAAGTTCTTTCAATAGGCACCCCTCCCTTTCCATCTCCTCTGACTGCTAAAGTATTTCTAGCTTGAAAGGCTCAGTCTTCAGGCCTGGAATCGAGCAGTGACTGGAAGCTGCTGCATATTCTGGCCTTCTTGGGGCAAGGAGAAGGTGTGAAGCCTTCCGAAGACATGACTTTTTCTTAGAAATCTTCAGAGATCTTCTGTCGTTCTCTACTCCCTGTTGATTCTGTTTATCTGAGGGGTTAAAGCTGCTCTAGGTAGATTCAAGAGGAACCGCTCCAGGAATGATGCGGAACCACTCCAGTTATTGACCCTAGTTCCCGTGCAAGCAGCTGAAGAGCAGGCGCTGGCAAGCCAATCACAGGGCTCTTCAGCTGGAGGCTGGTTAGTTGAGTTTGGCTTTCAAAGGGCAGATCTCTCGCCCCGTTCCGGTCACAGAGTGCGACGAGCAGAACCACCGAACCGGTGACAGCTTTTGAGTTATAAAATATGTCAGCAGAAGAACGAGAGGCGTCACTGTGAAGCAGACGGAACCGGGGAGGTGCCTGGGAATTCATTTGGCATAATTAAAAGAAGGTGTATTTATAGAGCAGCACTGGGTGGTTTTTTTGCTTCATTGGTAATGAAACTGAGGGTTGCTTTTCTGTCAGATTAGTGGCCTTACATTGTAATTCTGCGTTGAAAAGGCTGTGAAGATGGCAGACTACTGGGGAGAGGGGAAGGGTTCCCAGCGAGTCTCTCTCGCTGATTCCAAATCCAGTGGTCTGTCTTTGTAAGTGAAAAGATGCCTTTTCTAACTGCCAGCCCCACAGACAGTCTGGGCTCTTTCCAGCCTGTGTCCTAGGGTGTGCAGCGTCACCTGGGCACTCCTGCCTGTGGCTAGAGAGATGGAGCAGGTGTGACAGGGCTGCTCTGTAGCAGTGATGGGTAGTGGAAGGGGACAGTTTGGTATTCAGACCCTCTGCCCTGGTGACGATGGGTGAAACAGCAAGAGCTCAGCTCAATTCTGCTGGACAAGTCTTAGCTGTGTTTTCTGGGGCAGCACAGGACAGTTTGCCCTTCCCTGCCCTTGTCTAAGCAGCATTCGGCACTGGTTCAGCTGCAGCCCTCGCTGACACCCCTTGTCAACAGCAGGTAATTTTCAGTGCTGACAAGGTGCTAGAGCCCGGCCTGAGTTTGTGGGGCTGGTGGAGAGAAAACCCTTCTGGATTGTAATGGGAACTCATGTGACTTGGAGTCAGTGGTACACACGCCCTCGGCTCACATGCTGTCCTTCTCACAGGTGCGTCTGTGTCGACCTGCACTTGGGGGCTTTGGTGTGACACCTCAGTTCTGGGGCCGTCTCTTACTGCTGCCCTGAGTGCTGCTTTGCTGGTAGGAGGTGTAGTAAGATGAGGCCCTAAAACATAAACTCTTGTGTCAGAGGCCCAGTCTGAGGCCTGAAGCCTGAACCAAAGCACTTCCAGGCATTGCTAAGCAAAAGCTGAGCTGTGAGCCAGAGGCAGGCCCCACTCACATAAGTTGGCAAGAAGAGGGCTGCTAGAAGCAGGTGCATCCACACATAAGTGCTAATAAGAGGAACTTGTGCCAAAATGGCATCAGAACACTCCACAGAGATAACAAGGAACAGGCAAGTGCATCTTAAAGACAGGGTCAAAAGGACAGCATGATGGATAGATCTGTTTAAAACAACATGATCAATGGAGGAGCAGCACCCTAATACGTCAGTAGGGATAAGTAATCTGTCCTGTAACTGTATAAAAGTAGGTCCCGGAGTGCGCATCTTTGTCTGGCCTAGGGGGCAGTGAAAAGTCCCGCCACTGACTGAGCCGGTCCATTGCCAGGGGGCACAAATTCGTAGTATGTCTTGTAAAGTCTACGGGAAACTATTACTGTGCTCCATTTAACAATAAACCTGGTGCGGGTTCCTTTGTACCTTACTAAAGTCTGTGGTCTTTGGGGGTTCTCTCGGGGTCTGCTGTGTCAGCGATCCGCACAGAGGGGACACGCACACAGCCGACTGTTGTCATCATCGAACAAGAGCAGAGCACCACACCGGTAGCTACTGACAACAGGAGGCCTGACTCCTGCAACCTAGGCTCAGAGGGAATAGCTCTGGCCTCATTCCTCTGCACCAAGGCGGGCGGTTTACACAGGGCTAATGCGGTCTCCAGTCCTGTCTGGAGCTGATCATCTCTCCGCAAGGACTTTCCTGGGCTGTGAATAAACAGCAGGATAGCACAGTGCCCTTGCATCCCCCTCCCCCAGCAGCCAGGACGGCTTGTTTCTTGGACAATTCAAGCCTTAAACAATTGGTTTTATTAGCTGTAACCTTAACCCTTTGCTTCCCAGTGCTGCCTCGTTGTTCCTCTCTCAGGTGGTGGATTTTGACGGCTGTTTTGACGAAGTGGGTTGTGACTCCTTGTTTAAGGCACTGATGTGTGGGCATGGTGCTCATGTGACTTGCCACCCACCCCATCACATCTCCCCTGAAACTCTCAGAGAGGCAGCTGAGACTAGGAAACTTCTTGGTCTGTTTCCCTAAGTGCTCACAGTTTCCATCTCCCCGCAGCTGACGTAAGCACTGAGCAAAAATAGTCACCCTTCAGCCGGAGCCTGGTAATGAGTGGGTAAGGAAAACAGACCCGAGCCCACCGTCGTCTGTGAGCCGCAGCCGAGAGTCACTGTGCTGGGGGCCGACGGGCGCCCTGGGTTGGCGTCTCTGGCTCCCGTCTGGACAGAGCCGCAGTGGGTGGGTGGTTGTGCTCCCGAGCATCAATTCAACAAGTCTGGTTTGTTTTGCCCAGCAGAGGGAGCCAGTGCACTCCCTGCGGAGCCCGCAGCCAGCACCTCCAGCCCCGCACTGCCCTAGGACAGTGCCCCACTCACTGTTCTTTGGTTAAACGTGTTTTCTCATTGGCTTCCAGCCCTCCCCCAAGCTGACTGCAGACCAGATGGGTGCTAGTGAAGATCTCTACTTCAGGGTTGGCTTTGGTTCCTCCCTGTTCTCCCCTCACATCCAGGCTCCTGCCAGTCTCTGCTGTTTGCCCTCTCTGTCCTCACAGCTAACGCTGTAGCTTCTGTACCCTTCCCCTCTCCAGCCCCTGTGCCCTCCTCTCTCTGCTCCCTTCCACACACTGCAGCAAAGGTTCTCTTCCTTGGTGGCTCTGTGCCCGGACAGCCCCGGCTTCCCCACATGCCTGTAGTGGGGATGGTACCAGCAGGCTTACAAACCTTCTTGTCTGTGACCCTGAGCCGTGAGTCTTTAACAAACAGGCCCAGGGTGTTTGTGTGTCTTTCCTGTTCACGTGGCTCAGAGCTGCTCCGGGCCTTGCATTCCTGCTAGAGCTGCCTTCCCTGTATGTACCCTTGCTCTCCATGACTGAGTCTGTGTTCTTAATTAAACAAGCTGCTGCCTCAGGAAAGAGCTGATGTGGCTTTAGATAACCCTGTAGCCAGCACGCTGTATTCCCTTTTGTCCAGAGTGCTCTGACACCCCTTCCCTGCCCGGTTCCAGTCGTCCCCTCCATCACATCCAGTTAGCTCTAACCTGGATGGCGAGTTCCTTGGGGCAGGGACTGTCTGTATTCTCTGACCAAGAGCCCGACCAACTGCCCGTCCCGTGGAGGAAGGACTGGACTGGACTGTCTGAAGGGGCCGGGTAGAGCAGCACTGTGCACGGTGCAGTCCTGTGACTCAAACTGCTGCGGCCAGCTGGTATCGCCATGTCCCCCGGAGCCCAAAGAGCCTTGCTGGCCACTGCCTGCCCTGGCAGGATCCCAGCGGAGCGACTGCTAGCCGTGGCAATGCAAACAGAGCCGGCGGTGGGAGGGATAATAACCAGGCTTTTATTGTCATCTGACATTGATTGTTTGGCATCCTTATCTGTGTAGCGTGCTTGACTTGGCAGTGACATTAGAAGCAGCCTGGCTTGCGTGGGTTGGAGTTGCTTTGGGAGCCCCCAGGTGTGGCGTGGAGCTGGAGGAGATCTCGTTCAAGTGCCAGGAGGGAAATAGCTGCGATTGCTGTGCCGTTAGCTAGGTCAGAACCATGTCTCCGCAAACAGCAAATGAGCTACTCAGCCAAGCCAGGGGTGAGACCAGGCGTTTGGCTTCCCCAGCTGCCTGTTTTCTCCCCCTGCTGTGCTGTGTCTGACACCTAGACTGCAAGCTGTACCACACCCGCCAGCTGGATTGCCGTGGGTTGTTCTCTGGCCTGGGTTACACAGGAGGTGAGACTAGATGGTCCCCTCTAGCCTTAACATCTATGGAAACCATCATTAGCGTCATTTCCAGATAAGGCCTGGAGAGCAGAGACTAGCCCATGGTCATGCGGGAGGGAACAGAACCCAGGCGTCCTGACGCGCCGGGCCGGCTCTAACCACAAGACTCCACTCCCTTCCCTTTATATTTCTTCACAGCCGAGGAAGAACTCCAATGATCTTCTGTATGTAAAGCAAACGAATTGGTGCACAGGGCGAGTACAACCTCCGCCCCTGAGCTCGGAGGAGAACTGCAGTGTGTGCGCTGCAGGCCAGGGCTGGGACTAAAGCCCAAGTGGGGGGAGTGCTGTCAAACGGCGGGGGAAGAGGGAAAGAGCAAAGCTTGAAGAATCACAGCGCCTTCACGTTGGGCTTTGCCACAGAAGTGTCAGAAAGTTGCCCAAAGGGGCTTCTGCTTCCTTGGGCTAGAAGAGCGAACCAGGAGCGGGCAGATAACAGGCAGCCAGTTCCGACAGCTCTGCTGTGGAAACCTACACTCAGTAGTAGTTGAAATGATGGCGAGGATACCTCTCCGTGGTCCATGGCAGGAGGGTACTCTGCCTGTACAGGGGTTCAGCTGCTGGCACCCAGGCAGGGAGCCGGCAAAGCCCAGCTGTGCAGAGCCTGCTGGGTGGCTGTGGGGGATGGCTGCCGGGGAGAAGCAGCAGTAGGATCAGGTTTCACCCATTCCCACTGTAATGACACAAGAGTCTGGGCTCCCGTTGGGGGATGGGGGCACCACACTCAGACTCAGCAGTGTGGAGCCTGTTTGGAGCCTCCCTGTTCACATTGTGGGGCAGTGAGCCCTGGCTGGCCCTTTGGACACTCCCAGGGCAGTGGCTTGTCAGCTTCCAGTGGAGGCTCTGCTGCACCAGGGGCTGGGGTTAGGCAGGTCTCTCTGGGGCTGATCAGGTGCCCTGCAGCTCTGAGATCACGGCTGCAGCTGGTCACACTGATTACAGGCTATCTGGCCAGGGGAAGGTGGAGCGTAAGGGGCCCTGGGCTGAGATAAGGGCACTATCAGGCCATGCGCACCCAGCTCAGACCTGCTCACGGGATTGGGGCTTTTTTTTAAATGCCATCGGTTATGATCAAGTGTCGTTTCAGTCTGATCAATTCTGACCCCTTGTCTCTGGGGAGCCCTGAGTCTGCACTGGCCCCAGAGCTGTGTTCAGGGCTGGAATGATGCGTCTGTCTCTAACTCCAGGCTAAGGAAGAGTCAGGAGAGGAGTTACCTGGCTGGAGTTGAGGGACCTCCCTGGGTAGGTGCTTTAGGGGACTGATCGTACATAAGATCAGGGCTGGAGCTCCAGGAGGAAAGTGACCCGTGTCACACCCAGGAACTGAGAATGGGAAGCTGAGAACTCCCCCAACCACACCCCTGGAAGCACATGGCTCCCTAGTCACTATCCTCATCAGGAGCTCAGGGATTCCTCTCTAGCGGTGGGTGGCATCACCAAGCCCCCAGCGCACGCAGAGCAGGGAGCACACCCTGCCAGGAAGCAGCAGCGTCAGGCAAGCATGACACTGCATGTTGCCTGGGTAGGCGAGCGACTCTGCTGTGGACGTGCAGCTGGGACCTGCTTGAATTTTTCTGATCACGCACAGTTCTCCTGACATCCAGTCTTGTGCCATTCTGCTCCGTCAGCCTTGCGAAAGGGTTCAGATGAGCCCTGGACTTTGAGGCCCTTCTCAGCAGTGTTGTTAATTTTGAGTCTTTAATGGGATCTGTCCACCCCCAAGATACACACGGCAGGGCCAAAGCCTTCCCCATATGTGCAGAGGCTGGGGCGAGCCCAGGACGCTACCCCGCCAGTGCCAGCCCAGACAGATATGTGGTTCCCCAGAGCGTGTAGTTGATTGAAATGTGCGTCCCAGTCTTGTGCAGGGGAGCCCTGGGGACCATGACCAGATGCTGAGAGGCGCTGAGTTCAGTGGGTGCTCAGACCTCCTCCCTGCTCAGCCCCATCGCAGCCCCCCTGTCTCCCTGCCATGAACTCCGAGCTCACAGGAGATGGATTCTGGCAGCATGGGAGCTAATAAGCAAGACAGTGGAGCGCTCAGCGGAGCAGCGTTCCCTTTGATTAGTGACCTAATCCCCCAGGAGAGTGACGGCCCAGCTGGCAGCCGAACACATAGGAAAGTAGGTTACGTTGCTTGATTAGAGCGGGCCTTCAAAGAGCAGGGCTG